CCTGTTGCCAAGGAGGAAGAAAGGGAAACTGGAGAGGCTGGATTAGGAGAAGGGGCTGTGGGTTGAGACCTCCAATAGGAAGTCTCCTTAGCTGGAATCAAATTATTTAGATTTCATGGCTAGGAAGAGCTAAGTTGGGGAACAAGAATAACAGAGAAGGCTTGGAGCAGAGGTAAGTGAAAGGTTACATTTAGGAAATCACTTTCCAATTCCCTGAATGCTTGCTGTAGTTGTAAAGATCCTGAATAATATTGGGAATGAGGGTGCCATTAGGAAGACATTTTGTTTGACTCCCTATGGGGTATTGAGGCAGAATTTTATTGCAAAGGTAAACAAGTTTAGGGTCCTTCAGGCAGGGTGCCAGATGAAGATGCTGCTGGTTTTCCAAATCATTCCAAGGGATAATGTGAGAGTACGGATGACACTGTTCCCAAGTTTGAGTAGGGTGGGTGAGAGGAAACCTGTAGTTAGGGGCATCCCCAGGACTCAGAAGACCTAATGAGGACCAAGTTGTTCAGTGGGTTGTCACTGTACTCAATAGTGTGTGGGATTAGGACTATTACCCTGATGAGGAGACTTGGTGTCTGGTACCAAGGCTTTGAATGAGTCCCCAAGGTTTGCTTATAGGCAACAAAAACAACTCAGGAATTACATCTCATCCATTGGAAGGGGTTGGGAAGAATACTAGTAAAAGAGCCAAAACGAGCTCTGGGATTATGGGCAGCTCCAAAGAGAAGGTAGTAGAAGAGAGCAGGAAGAGATGAAATATCATGTTTGGGCCTAAGCAAGTTTCAGGATTACAGCTCTAAGTGTGTCTAGGGGGTGGGGTCAGATTAAGAGGGCAAGCCATATCCCTAAATACTGTAGCTGGGGTTACCTGGGCCTCCAAGAGTAGCAGAGGGATGCCAAGAACTCAACAGTCACTTATTTGAATTCCAGGAATCATTTGTACAAAGTAAAAGGAGTAATTTACCAAGTTGCTGCTGGGTGGTACAGTGTTGAGAAACTGAGCGATCAGGGAGCATGAAGATGAGTCTGTTGCAGTTGGGTTGAAGATGGGGGGTAAGGTCCAGTGTAGCTCAGACCCTGATGGAGAGCACAGGCACCAGGAGAGCCTAATCTAACTTGAGTTCTGAGAGGCAAAAACTTCCCAAATGGAGGTGTTACAGCTCTGGTGGGAAAATATCCTGGCAGTCACAAAGTGACAAGGAATACCACAAAGTCATACTGAGAAACAAAACTCACGTAAGAGATTTGCTCGGAGAGACACAAGAGAGTGGCTGTCTCTGGCCAGGCAAGAAACAGCAGAGGCCGGGCGTTGGTGGCGCACGCCTTTAATCCCAGCACTCGGGAGGCAGAGGCAGGCGGATCTCTGTGAGTTCGAGACCAGGCTAGACCGACAGCCTCCAAAACAGAGAAACCCTGTCTCGTAAAAAAAAAAAAAAAAAAAAAAAAACAAGAAACAGCAGAGAACCGAGTAGAAAGCAGTTTTTTTCCCCTGAGGATGTGGAATTTTCCAAAATGAAGATTTCTAGGGTGGGTATTGGTGAAATTTCAAGCCAAGCCCAAGGACTGGTGGGATTTGGGGGCTTAGGTATTGGTGGGGTGGATTTTCAGACTCAGGAATGGATTTTGAGGCTCAGGGATTGATGGGTTTTGAGACTCAGAGATTGGGGGAATTTGTGGGTGTTTGTAGATTTTCAAACCCAATATTTGGCACAGACCTTTTACCCTACAGTTACTTACACGTTTCACTATCTGCTTAAACATTTAAAATGTTTTATAATCAAGAAAAATGATAATTCTTAAATATACAAAAGCAACAATAAAGCCTAGAAATTATGTAGGGAGCAAGATAAATAAAATAATTTAGAATTCTGTCTACTAGCCAGTGCCTTTAGTTAATGCAGACAAAAAGTATCTATCTTTACTTTAAAGACCTGATAAAATGCATTGTCTTTATACAGTCTGTTCCCAACCTATCTGCAAACAAGAATAAAGACAAGGTCTTATTTTGATTTGTTAGTGATTCCTAGAATGTGTGTTATACACATTCTCTGTGTAATATTAAACACTGAATGTCTGCTAATTCCAATTAAGATTAAGATTCCAATTAAGAGATAGCTGTCTCTTATTTATAACTGCACTGGTAGTACCAAGTTTGGATTTGTTGAGAATAATTATGCTCACAAATGGAACTGCAGAGTTCTTTGGTGAATTCCTAAAATATGTAAATCCTTAAAAGCTCCACTACCATGGAGGTAATAGTAATCATTTTCCCACATTATTGACACAGAATCTACCTAATAGCTGAAATGTGTGGTCTCACACTATGACTTCAGAGAGCAATGCCTGATTCTGATTGAGGAAATTCTGTACTCCACTGTGGACATACAACACAGAGATGATGTTGTGAGAAGGATAAACTAAAGAGCTATTGCTGTGTAGATTGCATCATGTGAGATGCTGGAAAGGAGTGGATTCACTTGTAGCAGGCAGTGTGAGGGGCATTGCCACTAGCTCTGTTCATTCTACAGCTCCATTCTATTGTCAGCTTATTGCCTTTGGGCCTAATCCTTCAATATCTCCTGGCACCACTGCCAACTCTCTATTATTAGCATCTACTGATGCAAAGATCCAAAGGAGCTTCCAATATACACATATGGTTTTTATGATGAGACCTTTAAAATAAATGAGTTAACTAAATGAGTCCAAACTCATCACCACACTAATAAAATCCCCAGGTTTACACCTCCCTCTTTGATCTGTTCTTTCCTTTGCCTCACTCTACAGTACACACATCTTTATTTTTGTTATTTGAAAAAAACTTACATTAACATACACATTAGGTTTCACTGTAGCATTTTCAAGCACAATGTGTTAGTGTGAATTCTCCCTGAATTCTTCTCCATCTGCTGTCTCACATTCTATGTTTTGATGCCTTCGCCAGATAGTTTCCTTTCTGATTTTAAGTCACATGTGCCCTTTTGGCTACATTTCATCCAGGCCTCTTTTCTTCCAACTGTGGGCTTTCTTCTAGTTTTCCAACATACAGCCTCACTTATTTCCACTTACATGCATACATACATATAAACATGATCCAAGTGAACACTTGGGATAGCAGGAAAACCTTGTATTTCTGAGTCTGGGTCATCTTAATATATTTTCCAGCTTTATTTTCCTGAAATTTTATCATTAAATTTTTACAGCTAACAGAACTGCATCGTGTATGTATCTCATATTCATTATCCATTCATCTGTTGATGAGACATCTTGGCTCGTTCTATTTCCTTTCTGTTGTGAAGAGTGTAGCATTATCACATACGCCGCAGTAGCTGTTATCTGTAACTGTGTGAATGTGTACAATTCACAAAAAGTCACAAGTTTTGGGAGGACAGTTACTAACCCACCATGTTTCTATTGATATATGTTAGTTGCTTGGATTTTTAATTAAAGAAAGAAGTAATATTTTTGGACCCCAGCATTGCCTAATACTTTGGATGAAGAGAATCCCTTCAATGAATTTTGAGTTACTCTATGTTTTTCTAAAAGTCGGAGGTATGGGAGAGCAATAGAAAACATAAAATTCTCAGTCTAAAAATATTTTACTTATAATTTCAAACATTGGAATGAAATTTCCTGGGCTAATGCTTCCTTTTCATTGCCAAACACGTTTCCAATAACTACTTGATAGAATCGTGCCACAGACTTCCATGGCTACTCCCACTGCTTTCTAAACCAGTTTTCAGACATAAGTAAGATTAGGCTCTTTAAAATGAGGTGAACCTGACACCTCCAAGTCCATCCTTTCACTGAAGATAAAACACAAAGCTCGATTATCATCGTTTTCTCTTGTACCACTTCATCTTCAGCAAGGAAATTTAGATTTCAGTTGATTTACACAACACAAAATGGGTATTTCAAGAATAGAATAGATCATCATGGAAGCCATACATACAGAATTAAAATATATTCATTTTGTTGATGACACATACAGTTGTTCATCCATTCCCTTGGTAGATGTACTCTGCTCGTGTTTGAAGTTATTTTCAAATCATAAACTTTTAGAAGTTGGGCTTCTTTGATCTCAGCTTATAATAGGCAGCTTACACTATTCAATTTTAATGTATGCACCAGTTCAAAAGAATATCCATTTGTAATCATGTTTTCTTGGCCATGGAAGGACACATTTATACAGAAACTAGAAATATAAACTGGTAATCCATTTATTTAATGCTTAATTTCTGTAAGGAATTTTCACATTTCTTTGATATTTTGTAAATATGATTTTATGTTCATATCTTACACCTGAAGAAAATTAATATTAATATAGCATAAAATAGTTCCTTCTGAACAAGTGGCATAAAACTATAAAGTGGCGCTCCCATGTGGAAACCATGAGTAAGCTTAGATTCGCTGCTGACACACAAGAAGGAATAGGATGGTATGGGGAAGAAACCTTTGCGGACAGACTGCCTGGGTTTAAAAATCACACTCTGTTAGCAATTACATCGAATTGGAACTGTGATTACTTATTCCTTTATTCAAAGAAAGGGAAGAAGAGCAGCAACCATCCAAAGGACTGTTGTGACTGTTAACGACATGAACATAGTAACTATTTTAACAAAATGCTTAATTCACAGCAATTGTACAGAATGTGTGTTTAGCTCTCAATATACAAAATTTCATTAGCTTAAAAGTTTAACCAATAAAGTCTCTATATGATTACTTGTCCTAGTGTCAGGTTGTCTAATAGAGTGCTTATTTTTAAATATTGAAGTAACATATCCTGTGTTCAAATAATTGTTTATTTTATTTAGTTCGATGCATTTTGGTGTGTTTATATAGCATATTTTCTAAGAGGAGAACTCAATCTGTCCATTCCTGTGGGAATTCACCAATTCATATATGAATCTAAAGAGAAGTTGTCATTTTTAATATATATATACATGTATATATATATATATATAACAAAAAATATCAGAAGCAGGCTTACATACCCATTGACTGGATCAACCACAATTCCTCTGGGATGGGACATTTCTCCCTCCAGCAGGGTTTTCCGGCTCTGAGACGCCTTTTCTAGCCTGGCCACATTAATGGTTTTTCTTTGACCATCATTTGTCCAGTAAAGGTTATTTCCAATCCAGTCTACTGCAATGCCTTCTACATTATCCAAATCTATAAAAATGTAAGAACAAGAAAGAAACTAATCATATAATTAAAGTCAAATGAGTTTCCATCACTAATAATCTAACAAGTGTCACAAAACAAAGAAACAAAAAAAGAACCCAAAGCAAAAAACAACTAAAATATAAGATCTTTATATCATGTTATGCTTTTTCAAAATTTTAAATTCCTTGTTATTCAAATGATAGACCATCTGTCATCAAAGGATTAAAATGCTATATGTGTTCACAACTAATCATATTCTGTTTTAACTGATTGCCAGTACATTGTAACAGAGAAAATGATGTACAGAATAGAGGAAAACACGAATTATGTGAGCAAAAGACTATGAGCACAACTGAATAAATATGAGCAGTCACTTCTAAAGTCATCTGGAAAACTTCTGAATATTTCACTTTGATAACTTCATATATTTCATATAACGTTTATGATGAAATTTGCCCCCTTCATTAATATTCAGTTCTTCTCTCCTCCACCATTTTTCAGTCTTAACTCTATGTGATTTTTCTCTATGTTGCCTGTATGTGTATTGTAAGGTCTTTCAGTAAATTTCTATAAAGTATAGGAAGCAACAAATCAGAGATACTGTAAGAATTTTAAATTTCATCTCATTCAAACGTTCTATTTTACAAAAAAGAAGTCAAATTCATGTGCTTATTACTTCTATCCAGGAAGCTACTAAACACCAAAATAACCTGATAGGTTAATTTTGCCTTATGCTTAGGAAGATTTTTAATTTTACCTGTATTGTATTGGTGCTTAATTTACCTGAGCCACTTTCCGATTCTAACATAGTGGAGAATGGTTGTTTGCTCTTTTCTATTTATCATGATCTACGGGTCAATTTCAGAATAATATTTTATTTGAAATCAATTTCAAGATAAACAAGCAAAATGGATAATCTTCTTGTTTTTAAATTTTTACTGTTGTTACCTGTCTTGTAACTTTCATATTTTCTCACACATAGCAGTCACTGCAACTCTCTAGATGGAAATTTCATTACTTGCACTGTAAATAAATCATCACATTGATCTATCTATAGAGAGAAAGCAATAATAGTGCCTGCCCTGAAGTTATAACTCAGGGTAAAATAGCTACTGCTTCTGCACTGAGGTCATAACCAGGAGTCAACCAGCTACTGTTCCTGGAGGTTGCTCACACTAGACTTACTGCATGGAACTCTAACTGTTTTCGCTGAGATAATGCAACTTCATACAGCATTTTAGCTATTATTAATTTTTGTCTTTTATAATGCTCATTCATTAATATTTTCTAATGCTTTTACCAGTGGACTTTTTCAACTGGATACAGTATATGTAGTCATTCAGGAATACATAATAGTGACAGTAAAACAAAATTTAATTCAAAGAGGCACAATTTGAAAGGAACTGGTGTCTAATTTTATCATTCAAATTTTGGAAATTAAATTATAAGAATTGATAAAGACCACAGCAGTGAACCACACTGCCTCTTACCAACTACCACAAGAACTTAACAAGCTATTTTACTGTTATTTTCTACAAAGCTTTTATACTTAGACATAAGACAGTGATTAATTCCCAAGATTCTTTTGAGGATTATATATTCATTTTCCCATTTCTTCTAAAAGTTATTTTTCAGGCTGTAATATATCCTAAAATAATGTCTAGAATGTAGTTAGCCTGTATAAATGGTGTTTTGTTACTATTATAGTCTTTTCCTTAGCCATTTAGCCTTTGTAATGAAATACTTAACATATACTGGTTTTGGAATGTTGGGGTTTTGGTTCATGCTTTTAAAAATTAAGAATTTTGATAGTGAATGTAAGTTTTCAAACAAGAAAAATCATCAAAGAACTGATATACAAAAAATGGTGGAGGTTTTTTTTTTTAGAAATTTCTGTAGGCAAAGGACATAATCAGCAAGACAAAAGGGCACCCCACATATTGGGAAAAGATATTCACTAACCCCACATCTGACAGGATAATCTCCAAAATTTACAAAGAACTCAAGAAGCAATCTACAAAACACCAACGGATCCAATTAAACAGTGGGGGACTGAACTAGAGAATTCTCAAGAGAGGTGTATAAAATGGATGAGAGACACTTGAGAAAGTGCTCAACATCATTATCCATTAGGGAAATGCAAATCAAAGCAACTATGAGAAATCATCTTATTCCTGCCAGAATGGCTAAAATCAAAACTCCAGTGACTGTGCTGGAGAGGATGTGGAGAAAGGGGAACACTCCTTCACTGAGGATGGGAGTTTCAACTCCTACAGCCACTGTGGAAATCAGTATGGATATTCCTCAGGAAAATGGGACTCAGTCTACCACAAGATCCAGCAATTCCACTCTTAGACATATACCCAAAAGATGCCCATTCACACAACAAGGACGTCTGTTCCACTATGTTCATGGTAGCATTATATGTAATAGCTAGATCCTGAAAGCAACCCAGATGCTCCACAACTGAAGAGTGGATTGAGAAAATGTGGTACATTTACATAATGGAATACTACTCAGCAGAAAAACACAATGGAATCTTGAAATTTGCAGGCAAATGGAAGGCACTAGAGGAAACCATCCTGAGTGAGGTAACTCAGACACAAAAAGAGAAACATGGTGTGTACTCACTCATATATGGATTTTAGATATGGATCAAGAGAGTCAAGAAAGCCAGTAACAGAGAGGGAGGACTGATGATCAAAGGGATTAAGACTGGGCTGGTTTAACCCCCAGAAACAGCTGACCAGACAAAGGTTAACTCTTGAATCCCAGGCATTAGCCTGGGAAGCCAGCATGGGACTGATCAAGACCCCCTGAATCTGGGTGTCATTGAAGAGGCCTAGGGAATCTATTGAGCATTGGGCAGCAGATCAGTACCCATCCCAAGTATACACACGGACTTTGGACTCCCATAGAACAATGTGAGGTGCACTCTCACCCTGAACTCTTGGGGAAGGGTCTAGGCCCTGCCCTATATGAAATGACACACTATGCACACCCCCATGGAGGGCCTCACCCTCCCTGGAGAAATGAGGGGATAACGGGGGGGGAGGGCACGGGAGGAAGGGAGGGAATGGGAGAGGGACCTGGAACTGACTTGTGAAGCAACCTTGTTTCTTATCTAAATTTAAACTGGAAAATAAAATTAAAAAAAAAAGAGAGTGTCAGCCTACAATCCCAGTGCCAATGATTTTGGGAAACAGGGGGGTTCCCAAGAGAGATTCATGATACTCCAGAGAAGTTGAATGAGGCAAGATCTCCTGAGCAGATTGGGAACATCGAGGGAGGGGAGAAGGATCCAGGAAAAAGAGAGGAGGAGAAGAGGAGGGGAGAAGAAGGCATGGGGGACCAGGAAGGTTGAGTCAAGATAAGAACAGAGGAGAGCAGGATGAGAGATACTGTAATAGATTGAGTTATTATAGGCTTGAGGAGAGAGCTGACACTGGTAAGATCTCCAGAGATCAAAAGATAACACCAACTAGAAAACCAAGTAATACTGGAGAGACTACATTAATAGCCCCTTCTTGATGATAAGGTTGATGACTACCTTATATGCCACCCTAGAACTTTCATCCAGTGACTGATGGAAGGAGAGACAGATACCCACAGCTAAACACTGAACTGAACTCCTGGAACCTAGTAGCAGAAATGGAGGAGTGATGAGCAAAAGGGTCAAGACCATGATAATGAAACCCACAAAGACAGCTGACCGGAGAAAGGGGGAGCTCTTGAATCCCAGACTGATGGCAGAGAGCTCAACAGGGAATTGATCCAGACTCCATGAATGTAGTGCCAGTGAGGAGGCCACAGAAATCACTGGGGCCTTGGGTAGTGGAGCAGTGTTTACCATGGTGTATGAATGATCTTTGGGAGCCCATTCCAAATAGAGGGATGCTCTCTCCCCTGAACACATGGAGAAGGGCCTAGGTCCTGCCCTGGATGGAATGACAAATTTTGGAGATCCCCCCCATGGAGGGCCTCACCCTCCCTGGGTAATGATGTGGAGGGATGGGGTGGGGGACTAGGGCAGGTGGTGGAGGGACAAGGGTAGGAGAGCAAGCTTGTATTGACATGTGAAGCATTCATGTGTCTAATTAAAATAAAAACATATATTGAGGGAAACAAAAGAAAACAGAAAGTCTCGTGTTAGATTCTTAGTGTGAAAACTTTGGGAAGTCATTAGACTTAGATAACTGCATAAGAATAGAACCACATGAGCGAACACGTGTGGTTTCATGAGAAGAAGAACAGAAGAGGAGTGTCTACGCTTGTATGCCTTTGAGTCTAACTTGTGGATTCCCTCTCCTCCCTTTTGGGACTTGTGTCATCAAGTAGAAGGCTTTCAGTATATATAGGTCCCTGATCTTAGAATTTCAGAACGAGTTGACTAAACCTATTTTGTCAAACTCTTATATGTAGGCCATTGTGCTTTCAGCACTGAAAACTGACTAATAGAATCTCTTATTTTAAGATATGAAGAAACGTGAAGGATATATGGAAGAAAGTATCCCATTTAGGATACTTAGGATATTTAGTATCCCAATAGGAGTAACATTCAAGTAGTGCAAACAAATTACTATGCAAATTTAAATATTGATTTAATTTCTGTGCTCCAGGTTTTTGCTTTCATACAAATATCCTATTGATGTGTATTGACATATCTTAATGACTATTGTTTAACTAGTATATTCATAATTCATTCTGTGTGTCAACTTGATTAGGTCACAGCATACAAGTATTTAGGAAAGTATCAGTCTGCCTATTGCCTTTACAGTAGACTTATTTAGATGCACTTAAATTTACGGAATTGAGTAAAAGTGGCATCCTCAATTAAGTAATCTTATCCATTGGCTTGAAACCTTTAAGAGAAGAAACTGAGTTCCTTAGAGACAGAGCGACTGTGCTTTCAGACAGGCTATGGATTTCAACTGTCCTATAAATGCATCTCTACCATGAAAATCTTACTAACCTCTGTATCATATGGTCCAACTCTCAAAATGTTC